CTCTTTTGTTTTTATTTTTACCACCCCCCCCCCTTTTCTCTTCTCGCTCTATATTCCTGTTATTTGCTCTCTTTTTCTCACCGCACCTCTATCTTTACCTCTGTTCTCCTTCTCTCTCTCCCCTCTCCGGTTATTCTGGTCTCCATCTTCCCTATACATTTGCATCAACACAAAAATAAACAAACGAGCTCAGAAGAAAGATAACTCTTGCATGAAACTGGGCGTTAGAGAGAGTTACGCTTCGTTAGCCCTCGAATTGTGTGGATTTCTAGCCGAGCCAGAAACAGCTGCCCGTATCGAGGCAATAGCGAGGGGCACAGGATCAAATCAAAAAGGGCGGGCCGACATAAAGACACTAGCAGACGGGCGGAATAAAGCTAGATAAAGAGAGCTTCAGATTAATGGGCAAATCCACAGCTTGAGTAAAAGGGCAATACAGCAACACAGGTAGTCACCGAACCGTGAACGCCTTTCATTAATCATATCAAACTGACGATTTAAAGCCGGTGCAACGGAAACAGATCTAATGTGATTAGTGTTTATATACATGCAGGATGGCTAGCACATGTACTGGTACACTGGTAGCCACATCAGACAGACTGACTGACGGCAGACAGACAGACAGACAGAGATATAGACAGACAGACAGACAGACAGACAGAGATATAGACAGACAGACAGACAGACAGACAGACAGACAGACAGACAGACAGACAGACAGACAGACAGACAGACAGACAGACAGACAGACAGACAGACAGACAGACAGACAGACAGACAGACAGACAGACAGACAGACAGACAGACAGACAGACAGACAGACAGACAGACAGACAGACAGACAGACAGACAGACAGACAGACAGATAGATAGATAGATAGATAGATAGATAGATAGATAGATAGATAGATAGATAGATAGATAGATAGATAGATAGATAGATAGATAGATAGATAGATAGATAGATAGATAGATAGATAGATAGATAGATAGATAGATAGATAGATAGATAGATAGATAGATAGATAGATAGATAGATAGATAGATAGATAGACTAGTTGACTGATCCATCCATGATACATTACGCATGCCGCCATTAATGCCTGGGTTATTTCCTCGCAATCATTCAAGACTGGTCGACCTGTGAGTTTTGGTCAATTACGTTCAGTTTTATATCTTTTATTGATAATTCTAAAAAAAAAATTCCTTCTAGATGCATATTCAAACCCAGTCAATTCGGGCCGGCCGCCAGTCGTCTAGCATAACTGAAAAATACCTTGTCATCATCATCACCACCACTATCATCATCATCATCATCATCATCATCGCAGTGTATTTCTCTATTCCGTCATGTCCTGTACAATCAGTTGAATATCTTGGATAGAATACAGTCCAGTAGCTTTGGCCTCTCAATGTTCGTTAATAAGTTTTTTCGGGCGTTCTCGCCATACAGTCTTCAATCGCCCTGTTTATACCATCAATATCAGTCGATTCAAAGACGAAATTTTACAATATGAAGAATATTTTATGCAACCTTTCTTGGTTAATTGAGACGAGAAAGGGAATTCTTTAAAGCTATACAAATCCTATCTTGATATACGGAAGTGAATCATGGACAGTTGGTAGGTAAGAAAAAACATTCTTTGGAAGCTGCGGAGATATGTGTTTTATAGACGAATGATGAGAATACCCTGGACAGATAAAAAGAGAAACGAGGATGTCTTAAGAGAAACTCGACTCACGAAGAGAACAGACTGCCCACATCTGCATTCTTTGGTCACATGATGAGAAGGGGAAAACTGGAGTACACCGTGACAGTAGGAAAGCTGGAGGGGAAAAGAGGCAGAGGCAGACCAAGAGAAAAGATGCTGGTCAGTTTGACCTCATGGCATGGAGGATCATCCGTATCAGAGTTGACTGAAAGTACACGAGACAGAAGGTTGTGGATTGACATGACTACCAACGCCACACGGCATAGACTTTAAGAAGAAAATATGTTAATTTAATTTCTCATCCTACATTACCAGGGGGCTGAGTGGTCTCGAGGCATGATGTCCGCTTTGAGTGCTAGAGGTTCCGGGTTCAATTCCCCCACGTGGACTTGGACTTCTAGTAATTCCCCCCCCCCCTGCTCTCTTGGTAGTCAGATCAGAGGCCCGTGTGCATTGTTGCGCATGTAAACAATCTCTTGGCAGTTGGAAATCGAAAAGAGTAGCCTAACGGCGCTGCACGTGAAAAATTTGGAGTTTAAAATCTACCCAAAGTATTTCAGAATCCTCGCCGGTGCTACAGAACCTGTGCACTGAGCTAAGCTTCTTCGGACTCAGACTTGAGTTAGAAGAAGAACGGAGCACTAATGGGTTACTACCCGTGTGCCATGATGTTGATCCGTTGTTCAAAACCTCAAACCTAATCTTACATCAGTCGCCTGCCGGAGTTCCCAAACGACTGAAAGACACACGACGCAGCCAAAAAAAAAAAAAAAACAGAACCCTTGACGTGGTCTTGTTTCACGAAATGAGGTGCGTGATGCTCTTGTTGCCCGAGAAATGCATATCAGGGGTGAGTTCTGACGTCAGGTGGAGCGTTACAAGACGCAAGATTGAGGAAATGAGGAAAGTAATGGAGTTTTTCTTCTTTTTCAATACACTCGGGGTTTTTCATCAGCTGCTGCTGTCATAGCTCGTAAATTGCCAACTAAAAAAGCAATTTCGTTAATGTTTAAGAGATGGTAAAATATGTTTTGCTGCTGTTGCTCCGCCTAAACCTAAAAAAAAAAAACCTGTCTCCACCATCACAAGAACCCATAGCACCTCTGTTTTCACCATAAACACCACTACATAGGCGCCGCAACCCGGAAACTCAGGGGAATTGAGCACCCCCTTCAGCTCCAAATAACTTTTATAGAGCTGAGCCCAGAAAATGTTCTTTTTTAATTACTGTTTATACCACAAAACATATTTATTTCCCATTCGACATATAATATATTTATTATTATTATTGCACACTTAAACCAGATTCATGTTTCTGAAGCTTAATCTACGGCCTTTTTTCCTACTCCTTGGGGACATACTGAGTAGACATTTAAGTAAGTTGCCTATCAGTTAAAGACGTCACATGTTAACCCCAGCATTTTTTGGCTGTTTCTTACCGAGCTTACTGGACAATTCTACCTACATTCACTAGTTAACAATTGTCCCCTATACAGTCAAGGCTCATACTGGTGTCGAGATCAACGCTAAGTGGTCTGCTGTCAAATTGATTGCGGCTAAATGGAAATTAATATGTTGGGATTACGAACATATGTTTACAATTCCTTAGTAATGAAGACAACTGGTTTATAGTTTAAGTTTCATAACTATAGCTCAGATTTGCTTCTGTGGACATTTCCTGGTATTCAATTTAGACTGGTCCAAAAGAAAGCACAGGTCAATTTTATAAAATTCCGCTATGGATGGGGGATTTCTCCTCCTCCTCCTCCTCCTCCTCCTTCTTCTTCTTCTTCTTCTTCTTTTTCTTCTTCTTCTTCTTCTTCTTCTTCTTCTTCTTCTTCTTCTTCTTCTTCTTCTTCTTCTTCTTCTTCTTCTTCTTCTTCTTCTTCTTCTTCTTCTTCTTCTTCTCCTCCTTCTTCTTCTTCTTCTTCTTCTTCTTCTTCCTCTTCTTCTTCTTCTTCTTCTTCTTCTTCTTATTATTATTATTATTATTATTCTCTTCCTCCTCTCCTTCCTTGGACGGCTGTTTGAGAAGAAAAGAACCACATATGTATGATAAGTGTGCTACAGTAAGCATTTATACCGTAAGACGTTGAATTTTTTGCATATATGGCTAACGAGTCTGTTATGTCCAGTCCGCAGACTTCATTCAAGTACAATGGTCTGCTGGTTGCCAGTGAGGAGCTTAACTGAGTCTTCGGAACTATGTTCTGGTTGGCAATACTTCCAATGGATTCTCTGGCTACATTAATCAAAACACAAAATTTTTTTTTTTTTTAACAAACCGGCCAGAACATACTGAAGAAATCTGACTTCTTCCATTGGTCACTTCAACTATGCATATTGCCAGTTTGAAAGTAAAGCATTCTTGATTTTGCATCACTGTTTATTTCGTCATTTTGGTATCTCTTGTGAAATCTTCTGGTGACTTTCTCCTGCAGGATTGCCCAACGACTTGTTGACACACAACATAGACGGAAAATTTAACACTTGACACTGTCTTGTTTCATTAAATGAGGCGCGCCATGCGCTTTTTGGCCTAAAAATGCCTGATGACGGAGAGACTTGTCGTCAGGGGGAGAGTTACAAGACACAAAATTGCCAGGATGGGGACAGTTTTTCCTCTCTCCAGTATGCCAGCTGGACTGTTTTCATTTGTTGTTGGCTTACATAGTAAACTGAAACTGCACCAACTACTAGGCTCTATTCGCGGGAGGGATAGGTAAGATGAGCGAGGAGAAGAAGGGCAGAAGAAGAAGAAGAAGAGGGAAGTTCTGTGTGACAACATCAGTAGACCAACATGCCTGTCTGCTCCTATGGGAGGCTTGATCAAGGCGTCGACTGTATGGCCGTTGATGTCTTTAAACCCAACCGATCTGAACAAGGGCCCGGCTCGCTAGCCTAGTTGGTTAAAGTTGACGTCGCAGCGGCCGGGTGACGAACTGCTAGTGGTCCGGGTTCAATCCCAATGGTAGGCAGAAAAGCTACATTTCTCCCAGATTTACGGTACCTATAAAGGAACCAAAGCCGAAAGGTTGCGATATCTATAGTTTAGAGCCAAAGTGTTTACAACTCATGGTTTCTGGATACTTAAAAAAAAAATCTTAACAATTTGATTGGTGGGTTGATGTCCCTATGCTCCAACTGGAGGCTCAAATAAGGCGTCGAATGTATGGACTCTTTATAACCGTCAAAGTTTTTAGTTCAGCTTATCTGGACGAGGAGGTTGCTGGGATGGAGGACAGAAAGAGAGAAGGACAGTAGAAGGAGAAGTCTCTGAAGACTTACCTGTCTGTCCCTCTGTTCCCAGGGCAGGCTTAACCAAGGCGTGGACTGTGTGGACTCGTTGTAGCCGTCTATGTCTTTATCCCAGCTGATCTGGACGATCTCCAGGTTTTCCCTGCTGGTCACCGAGCCGTCCTTCAGTGACTCGTAAAAACTGAAGGAAAAAAAAAAATATTTTTTTTTCTGGGTGTTGGGAAGTGACAGCTAGAGCAGCAGCACAGAGCAGCAGCAGCGACAACAACAACAACAACAAAACTAACTACTGCTGCTGTTGCTACGATGACACAAATCTGCTACTGTTACTACCACTGCTGCTGATACAATAACAACAGCTACTACTTCTGCTACTGCTACCACATCAACAGCAACACAACAATAACAAAAAAAAAAAAAAACTGCTGCTGCTAGTATGACAACAAGAACAACTGCTGCTGCGGCTGTTTCTACACACACACCCACACACACACACACACACACACACACACACACACACACACACACACACACACAGCGAAGAAATGACAGAAACAGTAACCCTCAATACAACAATAACTAACCAACAGAAAAAAATAACAACAACAACGCACACACAGAGAAATAAACAGATGGAGAAATAGTGGAGGACTCGGACACATTACATATAATAAATTAACACACATATAACACAATTCATATAAAGAAGTATAAGGATAGAGGACACACTAGACAACTAAAAAATCGAAAGCTTTAGTTGCCTTGATAGAAATCGAACATGTCACATCCAAATGACCACAACGCCTTGCCGGACAAACAAGTGTACTAAGACGAATGACCAAGTGGGCACTCCTAAGAAAAACATGTCTCCATTAACCATGTCTATCGCATAGATTGAAAACTACATGGGATATGGACATAATTCGAAGCCAAAAAAAAAAAAAAAGGTTACATATATTTATATTATCCAAGCATGTGTCGACTAACAAATAGGACAATTATTAACACATCAGACCGTAATGCTACGTTCAGAATATTCTAATTCAAGGTTCATTCTATTCTAGACACAACATTGCGGTTCGATGTGTTTGTAATTGTTGTCGTGTTTGTTATTCCACAATTGCTTGGTCAATATATATATATATTTTTCAGAGTGTGTTCATATTCAGAATCTTGCGTTTTCGTGCACATCCGTTTTACAGATATCGTTTATTTGCATGCACACCGATGGTTCCTTGCCTCTCAGACAGACTGACTAAAGAAATAACCATAATTAGTGCACTTTAAGACTTAGGGTGGGGGGGGGCGTGAGGTGGGGGGGGGGGTGAAGGGAGTTGGTATACTATCCCCCCCCCAAACAATAAAATGACTGCCAGAATCACGCACGAGAATGGGTGGCACCGAAAGAGTTAAGGGTATAAGAAAGACTTAAGGATGTTAAAGATCTGAGGATGTTATTCGACAGACATATACGACAGAGAAGACATTCTGTTCTCACCTGGCTAGCGCCGGCATAAACATTCTGCACGGCGGCGACCAGTTGGCCGAAAAGTACAGCCCCAGCACTCGCTCCTTGCCACAGAGGGAGCGAACTGCTACCGTCTGGCCGCTAGATCTGGTCACAGTCTCTCCCAGCAGAGATTCAAAGGTGTGAGCCATGCTCCGCTGATGTCTGAATGTTGATGGTGGCAACAAAAGCTGGCGTTTAAACGTTTGCTGGGGAAGAGAAATGAGGCAAAGTGAATTTATGAGGTGATGGCATTGTTGCTCAATATTTCTTCTTCTTCTTCTCCTCCTCCTCCTTCTCCTCATTCTTCTTCTTCTTCTTCTTCTTCTTCTTCTTCTTCTTCTTCTTCTTCTTCTTCTTCTTCTTCTTCTTCTTCTTCTTCTTCTTTTTCCTCTTTTTCCTCTTCTTCTTCTTCTTCGTCTTCTTCCTCTTCTTCCTCCTCCTCTTCTTCTTCTTCTTCTTCTTCTTCTTCTTCTTCTTCTTCTTCTTCTTCTTCTTCTTCTTCTTCTTCTTCTTCTTCTTTCTTCTTCTTCTTCTTCTTCTTCTTCTTCTTCTTCTTCTTCTTCTTCTTCTTCTTCTTCTTCTTCTTCTTCTTCTTCTTCTTCTTCTTCTTCTTCTTCTTCTTCTTCTTCTTGTTCTTGTTCTTGTTCTTGTTCTTGTTCTTTTTCTTCTAAGACACATTGCGTCCCACACTGGGACAGGGTTAATGACTGAAATCGAATAAAGATGGAGTGAGGAAAGGAGGCCGTCCCTAAAAGTGAAAGTTAATGAGAGTTCCAAAGTCGCAGTAGTGGATTTCACGCACTTTATCGAAGAAGAAGAAGAAGAAGAAGAAGAACAAGAACAAGAAGAAGAAAAAGGAAGAGAAGAAGAAGAAGAAGAAGAAGAAAAACAAAAAGAAGAATGAAGAAGATAGCAGCAACAGCAACAGAAGAAGAAGACAATGAAGAAGACGAAGATGATGAAGCAAGAACAAGAACAAGAAGAAGAAAAAGGAAGAGAAGAAGAAGAAGAAGAAGAAGAAAAACAAAAAGAAGAATGAAGAAGATAGCAGCAACAGCAACAGAAGAAGAAGACAATGAAGAAGACGAAGATGATGAAGCAGAAGAAGAAGAAGAAGAAGGAGAAAAAGAAGAAGAAGAAGAAGAAGAAGAAGAAGAAGAAGAAGAAGAAGAAGAAGACAACGAAGAAGAAAAAAAGAAGAAGAAGAAGAAGAAGAAGAAGGAGAGGAAGAAAAAGAACACAAAAATCGCAAACTGCAATATTACACAACAAAATGTCACCATCAACTCCACTGGCGCATAAAATTCAAGTATCTTCGAAGAGCGGCAGCAACCAGGAACACACGTAACGAATTCAAACAACGACAAGAATGTTAGATCGATTGTCACGCGTACCGAGTATCGACTATCTGTGTTTGGTATCCACTACAGTTGTTGACATGGTTATTGATCACAGATTGTCTGAACGCCGGTGAAACACGGAGACAAACGAGAACACAAGAATACACTCCATCCGTATGTTGCGATTGTGATAAACAGATCTGGCCAGGCTTTGTTGTCTATCGACACGACTAGAAAGTGTAAACAGTCGGAGGATTGTGGGATTTGTTCATAATCTGTTTAGAATAAAGACAAGTAAATCCGGAACAAGTAACGTTCTCAGGGCCAGCTCCGCCCTGCTACACACTAGGTCACCTTTCGTTTATGCTTTGACAGGCTGGTCAACGTTGCTCAAGCTAATAGGGTTGTCCCGCTGTACTGCTGTATTCACAAAGCTTTCTGCGTTGCGTGTTAATCGTTCGACTGTGATCAGTGGGCGCCCACATTGCGTTCTCACTCGTAAGGAGAGTTAGTGTTTGTTTTTTGGGTATATGACATCCGTCTAGAAATGTCAGTAGGAAATGTGTTTATTCCAGCTGTCAGCGTTGGTAGGCACAAGGAGGGTAGCCTTACGTGCCTACAGCAACACATCGTTTTGCATTCCACCGCAAAGCTGGGCGGATCTGGGCCTCAGTTCGTTATTTGTTCAGTAAATCCTAGAAATGCTGGAAGTAGCAGGGCAGCCAGGGAAATTTGACTTCTGGTGGGTAGGTAGAACAATTAATTAGTAAGTAGTTTGATTGGTAGACAGGTTCGCAGGCTGATCGGCAGTTCGGTAGGGTGGTTTGTAGGTAGTTATTATTATGTATCCTTATAATTCAGGTAGAGGCCGATTAGCTGGTTGATAGGTAGGTAAGTTGGTCAGTCAGTCAGTAGCATGTCCTTTGCAGAACCTTGCTTCCATGACAACCATCCGGAAAACTTCTCGATCACAAGCAAGATGTCCCACGTCCGATACACCCATCTGGAGATCATCCACCACATCCTGGACCCATCTTCTCTTTGGCCTTCCTCTTCCTCTCTTCACAGGCATATATCTCTCCATTATTGTTCTCTCGATACTTTAATGACGTTTCAATTAAACAAAATATTTCAATTGTCTATGTTTTATCGTCTTCAATAGCCAACCTAGTATAGTAGGTAGGTAGGTTTGTAGAATGGCTGATATGTTTGTTTGTTTGTTTGTAGAATAATTGTGAGTGGGTTTATTAGGCAAGCTGGCTTGGTAGACTGTTTGGTGCTGGTAGTAGATTGGTTTGTAGGTTCATAGTTTGTTTAATATGGATAAATGAGAGTAAAAGAACACAAATTAAAGTGAGAATTTTCTTAAAGTGAAAGAGTTAAAACTATTAGTCAAATACTGTGTCTCGATTTACCAAAAAATTTTTCTAGTCTTCTACAAGGAATCGTGACGAAAATCACGACTAAACCCGTCGTATTTTAAGTATTTGACTGCCAAGTTGAATTTTTAAAACAGGTCGATTCATGAAGTGTGTACCCACTCAACATTTTGTCAAACGGGTCCCAGGCAGACTTCAAATTTACTTTTCACAGATACGAAGAATTTTTGTATATACTCAGAATTTGCTAAGGGCTCCCCGCCCCGAGAAATGTGTTTATGATGAGATAGCAGGAGCGTATACTTGTAGAAGAGATCATCGTTTACCATATGTTTCAATTTACAAAGATGAAAGGCAGATTCTTGGGAGGGGCCGGGGGGGGGGGGGGGGAGTGGGAGGAGGAGGAGCGGAATTAAGTGCATATTTCCGGAGTGAATTTGACCTACATTTATAGCCGCGAGGTATGCGGTGTTCATTTCTTCTTCTTCTTCTTCTTCTTCTTCTTCTTCTTCTTCTTCTTCTTCTTCTTCTTCTTCTTCTTCTTCTTCTTCTTCTTCTTCTTCTTCGCGTTTACCGACTGTAAATTCCGCCGGAAAGCCTTGGTTGTTTGTCCATTTTACAGATCTGGCTTAGTTTTATGCAGACGGTGGGTTCCGCGCCTGTCAGGCATAGGCACTCGACTTCGAAGGAAACTCCCTCAATTAGTGGCCTGTTACGACATGCTTATCAGAGAGGCAGTGAGTCTAATCTTTTCCCCCCAGAGAATGGGGTCCCCGAAATCCACACGAAAAAAGGGTGCACGGAAAGCCACGAGATATGCGGTGTTAACTGGACAGGTATTCTGTAAAGTGACATGTCCTGTAGAGAATGAGGAACGGCAGAAGGATGAGCAGCAGCAGAAGAAGAAAGAAGAGGAGAAGAAGCAGCAGGGGCATGTGGAGGGGAAGGGGAGGAGTTGAGGAAGAGGTGGAGAAGTCGGGAGGAGGATAATAGGAGAGTAACAAGAAAACAACAGGTGGAAAGGGAAGAGGGGGGGGGGGGGGAGAAACAAATTTCGCGTGTCAATAGCAGTCACCGTCGGCTCTGTGGCTAAGTCGATGCGAACGCTTCGTAATGCCGGGACGCCAGGTTCGATCCAGCCGCGGGCCATGCGCCTGGCGTTGGTTTTGACAGTGGTATCAAGAAAGCCGACCGTCTAGGAAGCAATGGCAAACTACTGGACGTAAATTTGCCTAGAAAAACTACACAACAGCCCGTCTTTTGGGGTTGGTTCTGCAACGTCCTGTAAAGGATACGCAACTAACCTTAATAACAGTCACCTGTCAGCTAAGGAACTTTTCCAACTTCGCCAGATGACACCGGCTTAAAAGTTTACACATCCGCAGATGTAAACAATTCAAAGCATCTAGTATGTAATTAGCACTAGGCTCGGCGCATGAATAAATAATTACGCGCAGATGAAGGTTAATGAACAGACACTTAACCGTTTTCTTTCAAGCCCTCTTTCTTTTCATTACCCTTTTACAAGTAGAGTGTATTATTCCTTACTTACGTCCTTTTCAGGACGTAATTTTTTCTTATTTGAAGCCCCACTCTGGCTTTAGCCAGGGGCCGCAATATAGGCAGGCCATCAATATGGCCGGTTGTCTGAGCGCGGTTTCTGGGACCTCTCCACGGTGATCCTCATCCGCATGGTGGCACTTTGTGTCATCGGGTGTTTATCGCTTGTGTGATGTCCTAGTGGGGTAGAAAGTCAGTCAGTCAGAGTGCTGTTTTTTTTATGAATGCATGTATGTGCTGGCATTTTTATAGGTGTTGGGAGCATTGGGGGAACAAAATAGGTGGGGGTAGTGGAAAGGTGGCTGTTTTCTCTAAAATTGGGTGGGGTCCGGATGGCTTAAGGTGCCTGAGCGTCCAGTTTCCGGCGCGCACAAGATGCCCTTACACTTGACACCTTTGCATAACTAACTGCTACAGGACTATCTTTACAGAGACGAGGAAACTGCGGTGGTCCAGTAAATAAAACACTGGCCTAACCACCTGACTTTAAACAATTTGAATCTCGACAGAGATTTTTTTAGAAACATGTTTATTTTTTTCACCTGGGTCAAGGATGTTAAATCGGTACAAGAAATTATCATAGGAGGTAAAAAAAAAAAAAAAGCTGCTCATATCACATACATAGAACGGACAAATTTAAAATTACAGGACTCAAATTATGTAAACAGTTTACAGTGAAACTTCGTTAACACGAATTTCAAGGAGCCGGAAATCAGAATTTGTGTTTACAAAATTAGTACTAACGGGGGAGTAATATATCCCTGCTTGAGCCAACATTTGGTTCCTGTTAACGAAGTGTTGGTTTTAAGCCTGTTCGTGTTAACAAGTTGTATTGAATTGTGTATCATGATAAGGGTTCTTTTTTAATTG